AGAACAACTGGCGCCCATAATCATCGAGTTTTACTTTGCTGACATTGCCAAGGGAAAAGGGCGAGTTAACGTTCATTTTTATCCCCAGTAAAAATTGACCACGTTACAACCTACATCCTTCCCATCGACCTAAACGAACAGTTAGGTCGAATGGCACAGGAGGAACGTGACCCCAATGATTATATTAATAGAGAACTTGAGAAAACACATCAAGGACACTGCCACATCTTTCCTGATGGGAGCAAAAATCGAGAAGAAAATGATGTTGGGGCTGCATGCGTCTTGTAACCACACGGGTTTCATTATTTATTTTACAGTTCTTGATGAAATGTTGGAAATCCTATCACCTCCCAACTGCACGAACCTTCAAATAAATCTTCGAAATCCAAATTCATCCTATATTTACCGATTAAAAAGCCTCAGAAAATTTATTATCAATTTCAATTATGAAAATATTACGGAAAAATTAATTAAAATTGCTGAAACATAAAGAGAAACGTTATTATTTAATTTCTTTTCAATAATCCATTCCGATTAGATAACAGAATAATCGAGTATTTAGAGATAATAATCAATTAATGAATAACATCAATTAATTATTCAATTTCATTAAATCGAATTAAGATGTCAATCAAACATCGCGAAATCCTATAACAACTCGATGTTTTGGGGTTCTGTCACTTCATTCATTCGTGGGACGTTACTCTGTCCAAAAGCTAAGAGAAGTCTACACCATTCGAATAACTCTTTGCTATTCATTAAAAATAAAGAATTAAATAGATAAATTCCCAGATAATTATACTGAGGAAATATTAAAACAAACAATTATTGTGATCAAGTTGAAAAAGTTGCTTGTATTGGATTGAGGTGCAAAACATTGGATTTATGTGGACCAGTTACTGAATAATTAATTAAACTATTTATCGTTAAACGGACTAATCTCAAACGATTAAATTAATTGTTCGTCGATGGCTTTCGGGTAGTCCTCTTCCCCGACATCTTCAATCTACTGAATCTTGGAATCCAGAAGTTATTTTCTAATCCTGTGATATCGTGATCCTGATTATCCGAACGAGGATTAGTAACGTCCTGTGTCTCATTCCCCAATCCTGGGTTATCCTGGCGTAGAGCAATCCGGCTGCTGTTATCCTGTCCCGTATTATCCAGTCCTTGGGAATTTTGCTGTGATCCATCCTGTCTCCTAATGTCCACTCCTGTGATGTCCTGTTTCCAGTCCCTGAGAATCAAACAATGACTTCCGGTTCATCAATCTTGGGTCCCGGCCTCCAATCCTAGGGAATCCTCAACTAGACCTAGATAGATATTTAAGTAACAACTACGATACTTACCGGGGAATAAAAGCTAAGTTTATTGTTCAATATCAAAAAATTTCACCGCGAACAGAAATCGGTCGCATTTTCCTTGAAGGTTATTAGGTAAAACCTTCTGGCGACTGTTATCTCCGGTTACAGTCTGTCCTGAGATGGACGCCTGCATTTCCACTATCCTTGATGGCTATTCCTCAAGCTACACTGCTGAATGTGTCGCACTCACGCTCGCGAAGAAATTCATTAAAGAAAACCCTGGGCGGAATTATGTTATTCTGACAGACTCCCTCAGTACCTGCCAAACACTCAATTCCGGTAAATTAACGGTCAACACTAACCCGTATATTACTGAAATAAGAAATCAATTTTTAGAAATTAAAAAAAATAATCGCCAGACCTTAATTTCAATCTTGTGGATTCCTTCTCATCGCGGCATTGAGGGTAACGAGGCAATAAGCTGGCAGGGGATGCGGCAGAAGACCTATCAAACCAATTTAAAGTTCCATACAACGCCTTTCGAACACAATTCAAATCAGAAGAATACAGATCCACAACAAACAGAATCATAGACGAGGTAACAAATGTTCAGAAAAAACAAGGCGTGGAATATTTTGAGCTTTACTTCAAGGACTCTGCGAGGACTTGGTATAAAAACTGTAAGCTCCCGAGAGAAGCTATCGTCACGGTAAATCGAATTAGAGCCAACCATTACCACCTTGCAGCTTCCTTGAATAGAGTTGGAATAACCAATGACCAAGCTGTCCTTGTGGAGCAGAAATTCAAAATTTTGAACACGTACTATCGCATTGCCCAGAATACGATGACCAGAGATCCACATTATTAGACAGACTGAAGAAATCAAACTATTCTCCGCCCTTTACTATAAGAAAATTCACAGATGCAACTGACCATAAATACATTAAGGAAATATGTAAATACCTGAAAGACTGCCACCTACAAATATGAATTATCTAAGATAATAAAATGTAATATATACAACTGAATGTAAACGACAGTGTAAATAACCCAATGTAAGGGCTACATCACTATAAAATAATTTTTAAAAAAACTTGTTACAGAAGAGAATAAAATATTTAAATAGAATAGAGCCGTAATATTTTATTATTATTCCGTCAGAATAGCATGGAATGCAATGCGATTCTCGCATTTATAAAATAGAATTTTGTTGTTATACATTTCAATTCATCAAACAAAATCTGAATTCCATCTATTTTACTGAATCATCCAACATCGGAGATTTTTTTATTTTGACATATATTGACTAGAGGTTAGGTACTGAGCGATATAGGAATCAGACTGAGCGATATTAGCTGCATGCGGCCACTACGGCTCACTCAGCTCCTATCTTCATTTTTTGATAATTTATCGGAATTGAAGATCCAGGACTTCTAAATATGTAGCTTGTTACCGTCTTGACAGCAAGAGGTGTTCTCTGTATTGAGGTTCATTTGAGTCGAATGGGACAATTGGACGACATCTGGCGATCTATAGTCTTTCTGCTATTATTACTCTGTGTTATCGACCTGTTTTTCGCGGTCTTTTGATATGTCTATTAGTTTTGGAGTTTATCTATCTCGAGACGTCGAGGCTGATTGGTGCCAAGTACAGTCCATTTATATTTGTTGTAAATATTGGAGTTGTTACAAGAGCTGAGCGATGAAAAAGAGTGCTAATTAACGATTAGATGTGTATTATTCAAAGTGATCGATTTTGATAGTAAAGATGACAATTCTTTTATCCAACTGTGTTTTATTTGAGTTCACCCCTATCCGGCCTCAGCGACCTATCCAACGGTCTAATTAACATTTTTGGTCCTTCGAGCCGGATAGGGGTTAATATCAGTGAAGTGAAAAAACATTTGAGTCGCGGATAACGGCTGATGTGCTGTGAAGAGTGCGACAGTGGCATAATTAAAACATCAACGGGTTTGGACTCCCGGGTGCTGGGCGTCGCTTGGTGGTTGGCGCTGGTAATTGGGGTCAGTGGTTGGCGTCTGTTGTAACAGGTTCTTGGCTATAAGGGTCTGGGAAGAGCTTGTAAGATTCATCTGGTGGGGCTCTGGGAGGCTGTTGGTGGAGCGTCGTGGGATTTGGCAACCAGTGGGTTCATCTGTGGAATTCCATAAAGCAGCAGGGAGCCTGTGGTGGAGCTGCTGAGCGTTGCTACTGTTGAGTCGGCGTCAGGCTTCGGCGTCGTGGTGCCGCCATTTTTGGGTTCGAGTTGGGCATCAGAGGCTCGGTCGTTCAGTTGACCAGGTTATCGGCGGAGGTATTTGATCCTCGGTGGTCGGTAAGCTAACTATTTTCGTTCTTACCATCAGTCAAACCCGAATTCTTACGGTTGGTAAATGAGACGCTTACCATCGGTGGAAGGGTGTTATTATCACAATAGCTGAGTTGTTTCTTTTTCAACATGACAACTTTTAATTCGATTATTGACGAGCAGACGGAACTTGCGGAGGCCATTGGGAAGGCTTGTGAGTCCTTGATGAAAGCTGAGGTGACATCTGCTAGACTGGACACCCGAGTGAGGGCCTTGACCGTGAAATGGAATAAATACCAGGACAAACATTCAACGTTGTGGAGGCTGAAGTATAATGGGAAGTCTGACCTCCGAGCAGCGCTCGAGAATCATGACTATTTTGCAAATAAACGTCATGAGGCTTGCGAGGAGCTTTATCTCGTGGCTGTGGAGAAGATGCAAGAACAGAAGGAATTGCTGGATGCTGCCGGGTTCATTGCAGTCTGGATTAAAATTCCCGAAGTGGGATCTTCCTGATTTTGACGGTCACCCATCGAAATGGATGAATTTTCGGGACTTGTACCTTACCATCATGTCGAACTATCCTCAGCTCACATCAGTTCAACCTGTTGAAGAGTTTGTCAAACGTTGAACGTTCAACCTGTTGAAGACTTTACCTGTTGAAGAGACGTCTGAAGGGAGATGTTGAAAAGAGAGTTCGGAGTATCTCACTTCAGGGGGAAAGTTATCAACTGGTGTGGAACAGCCTCTTGGAGTATTATGATAATAAAAGAGCGCTGGTCAACAATGCTATAACGCTTCTTTTCAATGTTCCGGTAGTAGTGAAGGACTCTGTACCGTCGCTCGAGCGGTTATACACCGAAAGTACACAGGCTCTGACGGCCCTTGAGGCGCTCAAGAGGCCGGTTGCGGAGTGGGACGATCTCTTGGTGTACATCATAGTCAAGAAACTGGACAGAGCTTTGATCATTAAATGGGAGAGGACTCTTGGGGCCTCAGCTGAGCCACCTACTTGGAATCAGCTCAAGGGGTTTTTCATGTCGAGAATTAGGGTAATGCACTCAATTCAGGCTGACTATGCTGGAGGTGGGACTGGTGCCTCTGGGACTTCCGCTACGAATGTTGCTGGGAGAGCTCCAAAGGGTTCGAGTGGAGCTAAGGTTCACTAGGAAAACTGTTCTTCCACGTCGAGCTGGGACTAGACCTGCTCCTTATCTCGCTATCAGGACTCTGAGGCAGCTAGCTGAGGACGAAGGCGATGAGAATCCGGAGGCAAGAGAAATCATCATGAAAACTACGTACATGGATGATGTCTACGGTGGTTCCAGTTCGGAGGAGGGGTAGAAGAGGCAGATTACCGAGGTAAATAGGGTTTTTGCTTCGGGAGGGATGCTGCTGCAGAAATGGACGTCTAATAAGCCGGAGTTGCTGCGAGACATTGCTTGTTCGGTGAACGAGTTTGCTACCCATCTGATTGATGATCAGGAGTGTCATAGGGCTCTTGGTCTTAACTGGGATTCAACTCATGATATTTTCTTTTTCTCTCTGAAGGTGCAGGGGGAGGCTGAGGAGCTTACTAAGAGGATGGTCTTATCACAAGTGGCGCAACTCTATGATCCTCTGGGGTGGATTGGTCTATTTGTTGTAAAGGGAAAATTACTTGTGCAGGAGTTGTGCAAGCTAGAGCTTGGTTGGGATGAAGAGCTCAGCGAAGAATTCGGCAGACGTTGGATGCGGTTCGCTCGGGAGGTTCGTGATCTGTGGGAGGTTAAGTTGCCCAGGTACTTTGTGATGAACGAGACTATTTCGCATGTTGAGTTGCACAGTTTTGCTGATGCTTCGGGGGCTGCCTATGGAGCTGTGGTGTATCTGAGAGTTACTGATGCAGCTGGTGGATTCCATGTGACTCTGGTGTCGGCGAAATCGAAATTGGCGCCTATCAAAGACAGGAAGAGCTCAGGCAAGGTAACCATCCCGAGGCTGGAGCTGATGGCTACTTCTTTGCTATCATGGCACATCGTGGCAGTTGTTAGGGCCTTAGAGATAGAGGGGATGATAGTGTGCCTGTGGACTGATTCTTCGGTGGCTTTGTCCTGGATTAAATCTGATCCCATGAAGTTTAAGCAATTCGTCAAGAATCGCGTGGAGGGGATTCAGAATTTGGTGCCTCACGCTCGCTGGAGACATGTTGCTGGGGAGGATAATCCTGCGGATTTGATATCCAGGGGGGTGTCAGCTGGGAAATTGGCTGCATCTCAGCTATGGTGGAGTGGCCCATCATGGTTGGTTCAGCCAGAGTCGCAGTGGCCGGAGTAGAGAATCGCTGTTGATGATGCTGAGGATCCAGAGATAAGAGCTGCTGGGGTGCATGCAGCGACTTCTGCTGAGGGCATCGAGTCTTGGGACTTGGTAAGAAGGTTCAGTTAATTGGACAGGCTTCTGGTGGTGACTGCCTGGTGTAGGAGAATTTTTTTGGTGCAGTGGGGAAGAGTGAGTAAGAGTGCTAAGAAGTTTGAGAGTTTGGTTCTAGGGCCTGAGGAACTGGAGGATGCAAGGAAATTTTGGATGAGACAGACTCAAGGCGAGTGGTTTGCTGAGGATCTGAGGAAGTTGAACGAGTCCAAGGAGGTGGCTCGGGGGAGTCAGCTTTTCAGACTGGTGCCTTTTTTGGATGGCGAGGGTGTTATGAGCCTCACTGGGAGGTTGCATAAATCGTCTCTGGAGGAGGATTCCAAGCATCCAGCAATATCGCCTGCTAGCTCTCAGTTTACCGAGCTTGTGCTTCGTGATGTGCACTTGAAAACTTATCATGGAGGAGTTCAGCTGATGTTGACTACTCTCAGGAGGAGCTATTGGATTCTGGGAGGCAGAAGGCCTGTTAAGAATTTCATTTTCCGCTGTGTTGCGTGTACGAGGCATCGGGGAAAGGTGGCCAAGCAGCTGATAGGGGCAACTACCTTTGAGGAGGATTACGCCTGCACGTGCGTTTCTGCACTCTGGAGTTGACTACGCAGGGCCGTTGTCATTGCTGGCTTGGAGAGGTCGTGGAGCCAAGTCTTATAAGGGATTCTTGGTGGTTTTTGTGTGCCTCGTAACATCGGCAGTGCACCTTGAATTGGTGACTAATTACAGCACAGACGGATTCCTCGCTTGCTATAAGAGATTCGTGTCTAGAAGGGGCTTGTGTGAGGCGATTTCGAGTGACCAGGGGACTAACCTGGTGGGAGCTGACAAGGAAATGAGGAAGCTCTTCGATGCAGTGAGTAAGGAGGGCCAGGCTATTGCTCATTCTGTTGCTAACGATGGCACAAAATGGATCTTTAATCCACCTCGGACGCCACATCACGGCGGAAAGTGGGAGGCTGCTGTGAAGTCTGCGAAGTTTCATTTGAAGCGAGTCATTGGTGATGCTCTGATGACTTACGAGGAGTTCTCAACGTTACTGGTGCAGATTGAGGCCATTCTTAATTCGAGACCTTTGTGTGAGCTTCCGAATGATCCCGACAAGTTCGCCGTTCTGACTCCAGGTCACTTTCTCATCGGGTCAGCTCTGTCTGCCGTACCTGAGCCGTCATTGTCTCATCTTTCTTCCTCGAGATTGTCTCGTTACCAGCTGATTCGGCAGATGGCTGAGAGGTTCTGGGATCAATAGTCCACCGAGTATATGCAGAAGCTTCAAGGAATAGACAAATGGCATCGCAGCATTCCTAACCTGCAGGTAGGGGCTCTGGTTCTCATCGTGGATAAGAGGTTCCCTCCTACGAAGTGGCCTATGGGGAAGGTCATTCAGCTTCATCTGGGGAAAAATGGTCACTGTCGAGTGGTCTCGGTTAGGACTCAGTCGTCAACATTCACCAGGCCTGCTACGAAGATCTGCCCATTACCTGTGGAGGTGATGCCTGCTGGCACTGTTGGAGATGAGGAACTTGCTGGTGGCACTGATGAGGGTTCAGGCAGTTAGAGCTATTTCAGCTACTCATTCTGGTCATGGTTTTTTTTTATGCTATATTTTTCTGATTCATGGTCTATAGTTCTTGTTACAGGTCAGATGTTTTTTTTGCCAATCGCCCTTGTCAAAAGGTGGGAGAAAATGTTACCGTCTTGACAGCAAGAGGTGTTCTCTGTATTGAGGTTCATTTGATTCGAATGGGACAATTGGACGACATCTGGCGATCTATAGTCTTTCTGCTATTATAACTCTGTGTTATCGACCTGTTTTTCGCGGTCTTTTGATATGTCTATTAGTTTTGGGGTTTGTCTGTCTCCAGGAGTCGAGGCTGATTGGTGCCAAGTACAGTCCATTTATATTTGTTGTAAATATTGGAGTTGTTAAAAGAACTGAGCTATGAAAAAGAGTGCTAATTGACGATTAGATGTGTATTATTCAAAGTGATCGATTTTGATAGTAAAGATGACAATTTTTTTATCCAACTGTGTTTTATTTGAGTTTACCCCTATCCGGTCTCAGCGACCTTTCGAACGGTCAAATTAACATAGCTGAATAGCCAAAGACTGCTATGCGACTATAATTTTTATCCGGAATCATGGTTTGGGATGTGAAAATTATCGTTATTTCTTAGGTGAGCCGTACAGCCACTGCTTCCCCTATCGCTAATTTTTAGGAACATCGTTACTGAGAGCCAATTGTCAAGTTATGTGAACATAATTTCGTATGTGAAAGACAAGATTTCACAGACCTTATGGGCAATATTATGAAGTTTTTCTACCTATCACTCTCGTTCGATCCTGTTCATGGCTCCTCGTAAAATGAGTTGCCCGTTGCAACTTATTCGCAATTCAAAAGCTCTTATTATATCACCCGGTCCAATTTTGCTCAGTTACCCGGAGACAATTGCACAGATAGGTGACATCGAAAACTTAAAATCGTTTAAAATCAGTTGAAATCATTTGAAATTATGAAATCGGGAACAAAATACTATGGAATCATACTTGAAATCACGAGAAAGCACTGGGACCGAAAAGACGGAGCGTTCGCATCATGTCGTTTCGCTGGGAAAAAATTAAAATACATTGTATTTTTATTTGTTTTTCATTTGGCATGGGATATGAGCACTCCGTTTTTTCTTTCGTTTATCTTCCCTCCCCGGAGTCTATCATGAAGAAGGAACGGATCACTTGGGCTGCATGATAAGTGAAAAACAAATAAAAGCAGAATGTATTCTAATTGTTTCCAAGTGAAATTACATGATGGGAACCCTCTGTCACATTTAATGATAGCCCCCCAGGAAATAAATTATTCTTTAAAATCACGTGGAATTACGTTGAAATCAGGAATCATTAGGTCACTACATGCGGTAATGAATAACTCCTCGACCTTTTAGGTGATGATTGATATGTGTTGCTCCAAATCTTTATGTTGTTAGGGTTTTTGCAATTTTTAAGCAGTTAATATGCCACGAATATTTTACACAGAGTTTAGTGAAGTTTATTGTGATTATGTACTAGATTTGTCAGGGTAACACCTTAAAAAAGTCCTCCTGAATCAAGTCGAAAAATCAGTCTTAATCAAGGGGGACTGAATCATGCCGGGAATCGACTTATTCCATGTCGAATTGACGGCATGAATCAAGTCGGACTCGGACAAATGCAAACCGACATCCCGGGGCCGAATTGCCGATGCTGTTGAATTGGCCAAGCCTCGGCCTAGAATCGGCATGCCAAGTCTTGACGACCTACTCACGGTCAAACATCGGCTTTGGACTGGCATGCCAAGTCTCGATAACCCCTTCACGTCCAAATGTCGGTTGAACGTCAAATGGTCATTCGTCGAATCCCAAGTCTCGACCAATAATTGGGTAAACTTTGCACGCCGAGACTTTATGAGGGTCAAACAGAATGTTCGAGGAGAGGATCTGTAAATTGGGTGGATTGTGGGAGGTGTTAGAGGATAGTTAAAGTAGGATGAGGCGTGAAAGAAAAAATACTGAGTTTTTAACGTCACAATTTATTGGTGGCCAACAGCCACCAAAGTCTGAAAATATGTACAATTTATATACGGTTGAATGTCTCTAGAAAGTTATTAATTGATTTACTGAACTTATATTGATAATTATTTAACTGCGTTGATTGACTCTAGACTGAATTTATAAAACTGAATAAATGAACTACAGGTGATTTGCTCGAGATGGACTTATACGATGAGAGGCTAAGTCTAAACTCATTCGCGCGTGTTTCGGTCACTTATGACTGATGACCCGAAGGGTCCCGGAGATTTTCGAAGTAGGTCGAGCTAGTCGGGGTGTTCAGTCAGGAATGTTCTGGAATTTTAGTCGCGTTTCAAACACAGGAAAGATAAGCTAATCGATCCGAAGGGTCAAACTCTCCTTGGGTTCACTGTCCAGCAGGGAAAGCGCAATAATCCAACGGTCCAAACACTCATAAGTATCACGAGGGTTATAAGGGTCAAGTAAGGGTAATAAGGGTTATAAGGGTCAACGGTTGGCGGCTTTTACAAAAGGTCGAATGATCATAGGGGTCGAATGGATCATGCAGGAAAACGTGTAAACGGATGCTAAGGATCAAATAATCATAAGGTACGGACCAAACACACACAAGGGTCACGAGGGTCATTAGGGTTGAACAGGGGTAATAGCAAACCTACTTGTAAGGGTTGGAGGCTTTTATAAAAGATCGAATGATCATAGAAGTCGAATGAATCATACAGGAAAACGTGTAAACGGATGCTAAGGATCAAACGATTATAAGGTATGTAAGGGTTAAACTCGAGACCTCAAGTGTCAAACACTTACAAGGGTGAAATTATGATAACGTTCAAGCGGAGGAAATAGAAGCATGAACTATTCTCAATTTCTACATATCATCGCAGAGAAAAAAGATCTGCATTTTCCACATTGATAAACACAAATTCATTCACTTTCATTCTTGGAAATGCTGTAATCTCATTATTTATTGATTCATAAGAAATAGGCTGCTTACCATATCTATCCTGAGTTTCATCATTATAGCAAAATAGAGAATCAAAGAAGGATACAATATTTCCTTCATATATACGATAAACATCTTTGTAGTTAACAATTCAATGGTGGCCGAGTGGGTAAAGTCAAGGCTTAGCAACCCGAAGGTTCCATGATCAAATCCCGACGAGTCCAACTTTTCACTCATCATTATCAGCGGTTATCGACTTCTTTAGGAAGGATCAGCCGAAGTGACCCTTAGTTTCTGATCCTTCATTTCTGACCTTTAATTTTGGAGTCTTAATTTCGAGTACAACATTTTCATCACCAGACGTCGATTTGAATTTTTATAATATAGAGAGATAGCTGTGTCAAAACTCCAGTCAATTCGTAACAAATGCATTTATTGATTGTTGTGATAGCGAATTTTCTCTCAATTTAATAAAAATGCAGTATTTTCGTGATTTTCAAATAATTGAACATGATTCAGTCATCATGTGGCATCACCCCTCGATCACTCGCTCAATGACCGCGGCGCCGCCCGTTTTCTTTTTTTATATTTTAGCGTGTTTCTCGACGCTGAAAAATTCTGAAAAAATTAGAGTTCGCAGTTCAATCCTTTTACTGAGCGTTGACGTTGTCCGTTTTTTTCTCGGAAATTTTTTTTAGCTAAAATACGAAAAGAAACATCGAACGGGCAAAAAAGGGACGTCGCGCAGTCCGGTGCAAGTGAGTCCCTGTCGACCCCTCGAGTGGCAGTGTTGCTTCATTCACGGTCACACTTGGAATGTGCACATAACGGTAAGCGCCAAGGTGGCAACAGCACGCTCGGTTTAACCCAGCGATGCTGCGCTAACCGAGCGACGGATGAAGATTGGCGGCCGAGCGCGAGTGATCGAAGGTTAAGCGGTAACAGAATGCGGCCAATTTTCCCAATTTTTTAACAAATTTCCTGCCCAAAGTTATTGATATTTTTACAAATCGAAGCACATTAATCGCCAGGAGGTGATGATGAAGATCAATGTGCTTTGGGTTCAAAGAATACTAATAACTTTGAGCAGGAATTTTTTTTTTATTTACAAGCAGGAAATTTGTTTGAAAATTTCGAGGAAACGTTGTCCTTCTATTACCCCTTAACGAGAACATGGGGTGGTAGAAATGGGGACATAGTTTTCTGTAGGTGACAAAAGTGGAGACGTGAAAGCCTTGAATTGAATCATTAATTGGAATTAATTTTTCCATAATTGAACGCAAACTGTACGCGGAATTTGTTGGAAAGATTCTAAACTATGACCCAAAATCAACCAAACTCCACTTACTATCGAAAACATACCCAATCGACGTATAACAGTACTGGACTCGGTCTTAGGTTATATTAATGTGGAATTTGACGGTATCCAGCATTAAAATGGAGAAATTTTTTCTACAAGAACCAAAATACTATGAGTTGGTTAGTAATACTATCTTCTTCATAACATGATTTGAAAAATCTAGCACATTGGGAAGGAATCCCGCATCTGTTATCGCGTCAGTCAGTAAGATGATCCCTGTTTCTTTCCGTTATCCATTTACGCTTGGCTTCAACTAACGAAATTCGGAGCCTGTAAACTCAACGGCGATCACATGAAATCAAATCCGTTGAGATTGAGATTCTTGTTGGAAACGTGAACGTTTGATAAAATATTTCAATTTTTTTCTTCTTCTTTTGTATATGGAATAAAAAATGTAGGTAAACGGAATATTTTAATAATCCACATATGAACGAATGGATTGAAAGAAAGAGTTTACGTGTGCTTCTCCGCTATGAAAAGTTGCAAGGGCATTCCGGTTTTAGTAGTCGTGATGGAGGATGATCTTCAACATCCTTTTATGAGTGCGCCTTCAGCACGATGTTTCATTGCAATCCGGCACACTCGATCCATATTTATCGCTATACAATGAATATGCAGACTTCAATGTGGAAGCAACATTTGTGATTATCCTAGCAGAAATTGTGAGAGGTTGTACGACAGTGACGGTTGTTGCA